AAGCAAACCACTTCTGAAGATGCAAGCCACTCGTGCTTGCGAAACGTCAAGAAGAAATTCTACCGAACGACGGCCTAAAAACCCGAAAAACCCATTGGTTTCACGTTTTGAAACTTTTTCGAACACGCTTTTTTGGGTATTTGACTAGAAAAAGTCCATCAAGAGTGTTCGATGTATTCTGCGCAAGCTATTTGGGAGTGACGTCATTATTTGAGGCCCCATATTGACATTTGCTCATGTCAGAAATATTTTCTGACATATTGCGTGGGTGCCAGCTTGAGCGATTGTTCCCGGTAATGCGAAAAGATTCATTTTTGTTGAATCAGATATTGCTGTTAAAGCACGGATGTATAGAAGTGTTTCATGCATTTAAATGGTTTCCTCAGTTTCGTTATTAGTTTGCCTCAGTTCTTGGCGTTGACTGGGCTTATTTTGTGGTGGAAAACCTGCAGTCAAATTATGAAGCAAATCGATGCCTAAATGGGCAGATTTAAGCCACCTTCATATGGGTTTTGCAAATTGGTTTTGGATCAAAATGATCATCTGAAGAACACAAGCTCTTGCGGCCGTTCGACTGTTCAAACAGTGTGTTCGCCTTAGTTCCATTCGAATTCAAAATGGCCACCCACCCCCCAATCATCCATTTCCAGTTCTGTCTCGTTCCCATCTTGCCACCCCTCGCATTGGGCTTTAATTCCTTCTAGCAAAAACACCACCACCCTTGGCCGATATTCCACCCCCCGCTCATTTTGTATGCCCGATACCATCGATGTCTTGCACCGGGATCAAACGCGGTTTTTTTAACGTTAGCAGAAAGTTTCGTTTGGATACAGCGGATCCCCGAGCCCTTTAAGTTGACCGCCCCCCGTTCTGCGGCCACTTAAGGCCCGCTCCCCCACAACAATATAATAAAACGCATAAAACACGACGACGGTGGAGGAAAACAAAGAGATTTAATAAGGCCATAACTCAAACCCTTCATTACATTATCTGGAGCCGAAAAACACGGCCACGGTATTACTAAAAAAGCGAGGGTGACCAATTCGGACGTTGCCGACTGCCGCCCTTTAGCCGCCCCCATCACGAAACACTCATTGGCGCCGATCGAGCGTGCCCTGCAGGTTTTCTTCAGCTGTTTGCCTGAGACAACTGAGGCTGTTTCTCTGTGCAATGCCGCCATGCAAAGCCTACTGATCCTGCCAGGTGGATGGTTGGCCTGGGGGTGGCAGAACCCGAAAATTTAGCCTGGTAATTATCTACGCCACTGGGTTCAATTTGCCCCGCCGCCCCCAACTCCAGAGTCGCTAAAGATTATTATAAGAAAACTGCCGTCCGCTTCTAATGGCTTTCCTCTCCTCGGCCTCCCCGCCGTTTCGGCCCTGGGAGGCCTCACATGAGTTTTTATCTTTGTTTAACCAGTGGAGATATACTAATAAGGATTTTTTCCGTTGCTCTGTCCAGGACGACGCTTAAGGACAGCGATACTGGACAGGCTGGCAGAACGAGGGCTTGAGTTGGCTGATTTTTTAACGTAGGGACTCCAAATGTAGGCTTGGGTCACTCAGTGAGTTTTTGGGGGTTGGCGCAGTGTTGCGCAATTGGCTTGGTGCGCCAATGCAACGCCAGAATTTTCCAGTTTTGGCCCAGTTAAGTTTTCTTCTAGTTTCACTTGAAAATGCGGACAATCTTAAGGTATTTTTTGCGAAAAATTATGAATAAGTTTCGAATCCTTCGTCGCTTTGTGAACAGTTTTGGAATCCTTTTGCAGCTTCGAATTGGGAACAAAAATCAAATAATTTTCCAGCAATACGCGACCAGAAAAAGCGAAAGTTTGTAATAAATCATTTGGAAAACTTCCATGCCTCTGAAGACTGTGGAATTTGTAAAAAAACTGTGGTTTTTTAGTTTTGACTGAATTTTTTTACTTGACTTTCTACTCGAAAACGCTCTATTTTGTAGAGTTTCGAGTCCAAAAACTTGGCTATTTGTCAAATAGGCGACGTGATTTGTTTTTTCTGACTAGCGTGGCTTGATCCTATTTGAAAGTTTCTTCTGAAAATTGGGGGCTGACAGGACGCGATTTTTCCTACAATTTAGCTGATTTCAATTTTTCCAATGAATGGCAACTTTTGATTAAGAAAAAAGGAAATTTCTGAAAATTTCAGAACCTTGGCAACCAACGGGTCTCATCTCGATACTTCCTGCTTTACTGCCCATGTTAATGTACTCTTATCCTTCCTGGGTGTGTCAAAGTGTGAAGTAAACATTCGAATATCGTTGATTTCATTACGTTTCGGCGAGACAACAGCGCCATCATCAGATTTAAAATTTACACAAACTCATAATTGGTAAACATTACGTTCTTTTAGGTCTTTGCCTTCTTGAAACCTTAAATTTGTCTCTCGAAAGACAAATTGAAGGTTTCAAGAAGGCAAAGACCTAAAAGAACGTAATGTTTACCAATTATGAGTTTGTGTAAATTTTAAATCTGATGATGGCGCTGTTGTCTCGCCGAAA